AGGCTGATTGGCCTATAGTTGCCCGGGTCCTCCCTCTTCCCCTTCTTCAAGATGGGCACAACATTGGCCCTGTTCCAATCCTCCGAGATCTCCCCTGTATGCCATGAATTCTGAAAGAGCTTTGCCAGGGGCTCCGTGATGACTTCAGCCAGCTCCTTCAGCACTCTTGAATGGAGTCCATCTGGTCCCGCTCACTTATAAATGTCTAGCTTTTCTAGTTGGTATTGTACCCACTCCACTCAGCATCCGCAGTGGGAAGGCTGTCAGTCCCAGGATGTCCCCTGTGAGCCTTATCTCACTTGACTTTCCCCATGGCCCAGTGAAATACTAAAGCAAAGTGGGCACTCAGGAGTTCAGTTTTTTCCTGAATGTCAGTTACCAGCTGTCCCAAGGTGTTAAGCAGCAGTCCCACACCTCCATTTGTCTTCCTTCTACTGCCTACATACCTAAAGAAAGACTTCTTATTATCTTTGACTCCCGTGGCTAACCTAGATTCAGTTGCCACCTTGGCTTTCCTGATCATTTCCCTACAAGTGCTAGCCACTGAAGTATAGTTCTCCTTGAGGACTGTCCCTAGCTTTTACTGTGCATACACCTCTTTTTTTTTTCTTTTTTGAGAGGACCACAATGTCCCTATTAAGCCAGGAGGGCTTGCCAGCCCTCCTGCTACTTTCCTTTGTTGCAGGAATGGTGTCTTTTTGTGCTTCGAAGATCATGTCTTTGAGCAATGACCACTCTTTGTGCATCCCATTTGCCTTCCCTCCCTGGTCCCTCCCCAATTGCACTGCAGTATCTTTATCTTTGCAGCTGTCATGAATCAATCATTTGAGCTAATGACATCATGTCAGTAAAGATGGCCTTCCAGATTGCTGTCACCTCGGTGAAAAGGGTGTAGGTGATCTGAGCCCTAATGATTTGATACACATTTTCTATCTAGAAAAAGGTGTCCGTAAGCACTGGGGATCCTGGTTTTCTCTGATTTAAAAAAAAATCCCCAATTTTTGTCCTCTAAAAACCCTCTAAATCCACATTTTTCTGTGATTTTAAATGAAATGCTACTAAGATAGATAGATAGTGGTGTTTCATTTTAATCGAGGAAAAATGTGGATGGGGGGAGGGTTTAAAACCAAAAATTGTTTGTTTTTTTTTTTGTTTTTTTTTTTTTTTTTTTTTTTTTTTAAATCAGAGAAAACCAGGATCCCTGGTAATCTCCTGCTGAATGTTCTTGTTAACTGCTGAAAAAAACCTGAGGGGCAAGGATTTCTTAGGATGACAGCTTTTATTGGATCAGCTGTGTAGGCAAACTTGTTTAACTTTATCCCAACTGCATAGTTGGTCCAATAAAAACTATCGCCCTAAGAAGTCCTTGTATGTTGTATAATTTCAGGACCATCATGGCTACAACAACTTACACAACTCTTACACTGCTGTAAAAAAACTGCAACAGAATTGCACTTAGCCAAAACATTCATCTTCTGATGTCTTCCCAATTCTTTGTGTCCATGACAGCCATTGCATCTTACCCTGGATGTGAAATGTGACCTGAGCCTGCATTCATAAAGGACAAACCCATCCAAGTCATCTTCTCAGCTTTGTGGGCCCAGCAGGATAAGGCCATAGTGATTCCCATCCAGAGACTTTTCCAAATGGATTTATGCCTGTGTTAGAATAGACTGTGAAATAGCCAAGGCAGATGCTCTAACAAATATTAGCACATTTGCACATTAGCACCAGAGCTCAAGCATATCTGCAAAGTTACTGGAAAAAACATCCATCATAGATTTCATAGACATTTGGGCTGGAAGGGACCCC